TATACACAACAATGGAATCAAAATAATGCTTTCGAAATACGATTTAAATAAAACATAATAAGAATATTTCATAAAATAATTCAAATTATTTTCGATCAAAAACCTTCGAGGTTGGCTCCTCGCAAGCCGTCCTCATATCGAATATAAAACAAGTTAATTGCACTCACATTTGCCTCACTTAAGCCCTAACCCAAATCCTTTTCACTTTCGTTCAATCTTTTTACTAAGTCGATTCGTTCGGTACTTGCTTTCGATCAAAATCTACACATTAACATGACTAAAATGAATATTGGAGCTCAATTGATGGATAACCAATCAATATTTACATCAATTAAATAAAACACCTATTTCACAATTTCACGCTGAACATTATCGGTACTCTACACCCACTATCGATATTTCCATTCTATGGTACCGATACCTACCTCAGTATCGATACCCAAATGTCATTCTGGAATTTCCTCTTCAATTACAGTATTGGTACCTTACTATTGGTATCGATACTACCCCTTCAGTATCAATTTTGTTCTTCTGATTCATGCAGTATCGATATTGTTCTTCCAGTACCGATACCCTTACTCAGAATTCACTTCTTTCACTTCGAATTTAACCCAAAATTCACCTAAATCTCATACTTCTAGCTCCATTTATGCCCTTAAACTGAATAACACTATCACAACAAAATTACATCACTTAAATTCCCTTTAACATCCGAAATTTTCACTAGAACACTTAAAACTAAAATTTACACCAATTCTTCAAACATGTTTCCAATCCTTTCTAATACCTTAAACACCTTATTTAGACCTTTGACGAGTCAAATATATCCTTAAAATCCAACTACTAATCAATTTTCATCAACCCTTAAAAACTCACTTTACCAAATCACCATTAATTCATCAATCTCTTAGCTTCTAATCATATTTAAGCTTTCTTAAGCTTCTATACCACCCAAGAACTAAAAACCAATTCAAAAATACAAGGAATAACCAACTTAAATTTTTCTCACCTTAGCAATGGAAGTTCACGGTAGAAATGAAGAAGAGAAGATGAAGAGCTTCTAGGCTTTTCTTTTCTTTTCTTTTTCTCTTTTTCTCTTTTTCTCTTTTTCCATCACATGTTAATATAACCCAATAAAAATGAATTTCAAATTCATTTCATGTCAAAAAATCATTTTGCCCTTCTATCCTTCAATCTTTGATGATAAATCCTAAACAAAAACTCCCAAATCAATCCTTGAACATTTCAATTTATCAAATTCAAACCGCTAAATTTTTAATTCTTACACTTTAGTCACTGACCCGATGTTTGGGGTATTACAATGGATACCCGATCTTCGGTATTGATACTAGTTTATTTGGTATGGAGACCAATTTATTCCTTAAGGAGACCAAGTGTATCGATATCGAGAATCTGGTAAATATGTTTTGGTAAGGAGACCAAGCGTATCAATTGTCTGCAAAGGCTGCTAATGTGTTTTTATTCGGTATAGTGATACACAAAAAGGTTACCTTTGTTATGATCCTCACCTTCATCGCGTACTAGTATCTTGTAATGTCATTTTTTTAGCACTTGTATTTTTATGTCTCACCTTCACGTGCGTTGCCTTTAAATTCTAGCATTTTCATGTTGTATGATTTTTTGAATAATTCATTTTCTAGTTCGTATAGTGTTGATTCTGACATGCATGTTGTACCTCTTCCTGATTATAAGCTTGAAGGCCCTTCCACTACTATCCTCAGTCCTACATCACCATCGCCTTTGCGTCCTTTAAAACGATCCACTCGTGTAAATTTTGGTAAACCACCTGATCGCTGAACTCTTTTTATTAACCTTAATTTTGTTCAGCTTCCTTATAAACAGATAATAAAGCAAACATGTTGGAAAAAGGCTATGGATGAGGAAATTGATGCATTAACAGAGAATCATACTTGGGACTTGGTACCATTGTCATAGGAAGCAAATGGCTCTATACTATTAAAGTTAAGCATGATGGTACTCTAGACCGTTATAAAGCTCGATTGGTAGCTCAAGGATACAAGAAGGAATATGGGATTGATTACAAAGAAACATTTGCTCCAGTTGCAAGAATGACTATCGTCCGAACTCTTCTTGCAATCGCATCTAGTCAACATTGGCCATTATATCAATTGAATGTCAAAAATGCTTTCCTTCATGGCCATTTGAAGGAAATTGTTTATATGGAATGTCCCCCTCGTTATTCTCTTGGGGATTCTAATATGGTTTGCAAACTTAATCAATCTCTTTATGGTATCAAACAGACACCTCGAGCATGGTTTGAGAAGTTTCACTTTACCATTTGTTTAGTTGGTTTTCAGCAAAATTCCAATGATCCATCATTATTTACTCATCGCTCTTCTCATGGTATTATTTTTATTTTTCTTCTTTATATGGATGATAAGGTCATCGCTGGTAATGATGAGCAAGGAATTATTGAGTTTAAAAGGTTTCTTAATGATTCATTTCATATGAAAGATCTTTGGACTCTTACTTATTTTTCAATTCAATTTGTTTCATTCACAAATATTGAGATTCGGATTTCTAATTTTACTTAAGAAATCTATTACTTGATCCTACTAAATCAATTGATTATTATTGCGATCCACCATATTTTATTCATGCTATCAACAATACTAAATTAAAATTTTATAATAAACAGGACGATGTAGGTACTCAACTTATGATTTAGGGTGTTTTAGTTATCCCCATTCGAAAGCCCGATATAAACAAGTAAGCCTTTACATTTGATACACGAATTGGGCTATCCACAAATTTTCTCATAATAATAAAATATACCCAAAGATTTTAAATACTCATTATTAAATATAAGGTAAACTACATATTTAGTACCTAAACTATTAGCTTTGGTTCATTTTAGTAACTAAACTTTTAATTTTTTTCAAAATCATACCTAATGTTTAGTTTTTGTTTCATTTTAGTATCCCGTTGTTAAAAACTTAATGCGTTTAGTACCTAAACAATCAATTTTGGTACATTTTATTATCTAAACTTTCAAACTTTTTTCAAAGTTTAACGTTAAATTTTGAACGGGTACTAAAATGAAACAAAAATTAAACTTTAGGCATGGTTTTGAAAAAAATTTAATGTTTATGTACTAAAACGGACCAAAACTGATAGTTTATGTACTAAACACATAATTTACCCTAAAAATGTTTAAAATTAATAAAATACTAAATTTGAATATGGTGCATGATGATGGACACCATATTCTCTCTTCTGTTTCATGTCCACATCAATGCTTCTGGCCTTCAATTATATTGGATGCATGTTAGATGAAGAATTGAAGTGTGGAAATGAATATATATTGAAGTTAAAATTACACTAACCGGAATATATCCAGATATATTCTTCTAAAGATGTCAACTCTCATTATCTCTAATATAGTTTTGAGTATTTTCTTCCTTTACTAAGATTTAGAAAGAGTTTTTAATGAATTTTAAAAAATTAAAAATTTAAACTGACACTTCAATTCATCAGCTTCCTCCACTAAGTGAGCCTTTAACTATAGGCATAATATCAAAAATAGTCCCTTAATGTTTATTGAAATAGACATTTTGATTTTTTTAATATTTTGGCCCTACGTATTTCACTTTAGGGAAAAAAGCTCCCTATATAGACGAAAACTATTAGTTAACACACGACGATATTCTAAAATAGGAGTCTTTTTTATAAAAAAAACATTGAGGGTTAAAATATACCTTAAAAAATAATAATGAATAAAATGATTATTCTGTAACATATTAATGGCCTTTTTACACTAGAGTGAAATAGTAAAGACTAAAATACTCTAAAAAAAATAGAATAGGGAGCAAAATGTCCACTTTAATAAACGTTGATATGTTAAGAATTTCAATGTGTTTTGTTGATGTTTAACGAGAAGGATGATAATATTGTAGACATCGTTGATAATTAACTTATTTTAATTTAAATAATAATTTATTAGTTATGATATTATATTAAGAGTTTCGAACGTCATAACAATTTATTAAGTATAAAGAGAAATTTTTAAAGGACGAGGGTTTCTTAAAAATGAAAGAAAAAAAAAACTCTCTTTTATCGAACGATTATTATTTCATATAGCATAAGTTAATTATTAGTTGATGAATACATATATTTAATAATTCAAATTGAGTATAAAGAAAAAGAAGAGAATATTATCCCTCTCAAGCTATTGGATATCTTTCCTTGCGGCATGCTTGATCGAAATTCGATTCCCGCTAAAACCACTAAGAAATTGATATTCCCCAAACCTAATTATAGAAACCTATTTAGGGAATGCTTTTAGGCCCGTTTAGTTCAGGGTATAATTCATTCATGGGAGAAATATTTTTTTTCCGGAGAAATATACTCACATTTAGATGATACATATTATCAAGTGACAGAAATGAAGTAATACCAACAGTAATTTTTTGGTTTGTTTTCCCGAGAATATTTGTCCCTCGTCTCCCTTAAGTCGTCCTCATTGTCTAAAATAACATTCTCCCCTCTTCGTTCTAGCCGTGCGTGATTTCCGTCCGTCTTTCATCTCCGCTCCTCCTGTTTCGATCTGTAGTATTTTGGTATTAAAAGATTTGCCTTTGTGTTCTCCTCTTTATATGGTTAAAGGGATGCCAAAGTATGAGCCATCGTCTTTGATTTCCGTGGAAGTGAAGAACTCTATGTCTTCAAATTCTTCATTCTAAATCTGGTAATTCTCCGACTTTTTCCTTTTTTTGTAATGCTAGATATGCATATTTAAAAAACAAAACCAATAATCCTCCTTGGATTCTCATCAACTCATCAAGATAAAGTTTTTCATTGTATTCGTAAAAGATTTATCCTCTTCCTGAAAATGGAGGCAGTCACCACCACTCTGTTCGGCTCTTCTTTATATCTACTCCAGCTTCAAGCTCCGTTGCTAAATCGGCAGTTTTCGCCGCCGGAACTCGCCCCTCCTCGATAAAGGTTTCAAATTACTTTCTAGTTTCTTTTATTTGTGTTGTTATATCAATATATCTTTACCGATTTTGGGTCTTTCATATATTTGCGTGAATTTTTATTTCTGTTTCGCATTATGTGAAATTAATGAGGGAAGGGAAGATTTTGATACTTGTGGATGGAAACCCACCAACCGTGGAACACATTTCTCTGCTTATTTTGATTTTTTTTTTGTTTTTTTAATGCGTATCAATTCATTGCTGCAACATTATTGTTCTCTAGCTTGTTCAAGATCATGGGATAAAAGAAGGGTTTTGGGGAGTAGGAGAGGAATGGTTGTAAGGGCATCATCATCATCTTCGTCTCCTGATTCGACTGACCTATCTGCTCCAATTGCACCCCTAAGGATGGAGTCTCCAATTGGGCAGTTTTTGTCTCAAATCTTGATAAGCCATCCACATCTTATGCCTGCAGCGGTCGAGCAGCAGCTCGAACAGCTTCAAACCGAGTGGGATGCTGAGCGAAAGAAGGAAGTACCATCTGCTTCAGGGACGGACTTAGTGTTGCATAGGCTGGTGATTCATCTTACTATGTATTCATAACCGGACATATATATCTCATGGAAAAGGTTTGGCTTTACAGGAGAATTGTTGAGGTTAAGGCAAATGAGCGAAATAAAGCTTTGGAGGAAATCCTCTACGCATTGGTTGTACAGAAGTTGTACAACCAATACAACCAATGCGTAGAGGACATGGGACTTGCAGGGGACCATCAAGCTGTTCCATCGTGCCCTGAAGTCTCATCTTGGTCTGGTATCATCAGTCCTGAAGAGTACGCTAACTTGGTAAAGCCCTCTCAGTTACGGACTTACGTGATGTCCTTTGATGGGGAGACACTTCATAGATTTGCTACTATTAGATCGAAAGAATCTGTCAGCATTATTGAGAAGCACACAGAGGCCCTATTTGGAAGATCCGGCACTGTTATTACTCCTCGGGGGACTGCTTGTTCTTCGAAGAACAAGCGTATTAAGATTAGCTTTGGTGGTTTGAAGAGCCTTGTTTTGGAGGCTGTCACTTTTGGTTCTTTTCTATTGGATGTTGAAAGCTTAATAGACTCAAGGTACCATTTTGTTATGAATTAGCTACTTCCAATACCAATTTTGTTATGAATTATTCTGTATGTATTTATATTTTGCTGTTGGAATTTGAATTTTGTCACGTAATGCATCTAAACGAATCGTCTCATTAAACCCGTTTAGAATTAATCATAAACTTGTCGTATCTACAAATTATGATTAAGTTTATATTAATTAGTAGTAATGAACACAATTCAAATGTACGTCAAGGTACATTTGAAGTCAATTTTCTTAAACTGCATATTCTAATGTATAAGATGGAATCCTCAATTGATTGTTGTGTTGTATGGCTGAAGAAACAGTTTCCTTACACTCCAAGTATGCAAAATGGTGCCGTAAACATCGTAGAAGGCAATGCGGGGTGGTGTCGAAAAAGATTATCTCAACCCGTACTGAATAATTTTTGCGTGGAAAATATTACCTAAAGGAATCATCGTCAAGGTCGATTCAATATCATAATGAAAGTTAAAATTCTCTAATATTGAACATGATATATTTTTATATAAATTATGTTGAAGTAAAATTTTAATATATTTTTAAAATAAATTATGTAAAATTTAATATTAATTAAAATAAAAATAATACATGATATATTTAAATAATAAAATAATATATTATCGATGAATTTTTATATAAATACTTTTTATTTGAATATATTATCAATGAATTTTTATATAAATAATTTTTATTTAAATAATTAGAATTTCACTTGTTAAAAAATATAGAACAAGGTCAATTTGGTAAAATATACATTCCAGTAATCTTTTATTCCTTCAATCAAACACTGTAATCTTACATTACTGCCAAATAAACCAAACACAACAATGTAACATTCTCAGTAATGTGTTAGGTAATGTTATATTCCGGTAATCTTATTCTCACTGGTAATCTTATATTTCGTGAACCAAATGCACCCTTAGGGGTTGAAAAATGTTTTTCACTAAACATAATAAAATTGGTCCTAAAGTCATGGTTGGAAAAGTGTTTTTCTTTTTTTTTTAATTAATCAATGGTATCCGATCTATTGACTGATTAATCCAGTTTGCTCCACTCGCAAACGCCATGATTCGAACTCCTAACTTTGCTTAAGGGACCTAGTGTCTCATCCCACTAGACACTGGTTGTTGGTTGGAAAAGCGTTTTTCAATCCGATTTCAAAATTTAAATATTTTTTTTATTAAATTAAGGTGATTACAAAGTAATATTTGTTCTAAATATTTTCAACCATTTGACCATGAACACTCAATCATCATGATACAGTAGTTGATGACGCTCGAACACATGACCTCTAGGAACAACAATGATTCCTTTAACACCTAGAGAAGTTGGTTCGTGCCAAAATCTACATTTTTTAACTTTTGATGTTGAAAATCACTTTTATAATGAAATTATATTATTATTCTCAATTACTCTCTTCGTCCCATTAAATGTTTATTATTGACTTTTAAAAAGTCAGAAATTTTAAACTTTAACCATGATTATTTTAAATATTTTAAACAATTAATTTTATAAAATATATATTTAAAAACTACATGATTTAATAATTTTAAAATGTATTTTTTTCATATTTTATGAACAATAAATTTTAAATGATAAATAGTCAAAGTTAAAAAAATTGGCAAAAAAATCAACAGTGCACAGATTTAATTGGAGAATTAAATATTGTGCAAACATGATTTATAATTCAAAATATATTAATTACTTATAAATATTTAAATATAGTAGACTCGTACAGAAAACAGATAATTTAGAGATTGTTCATTTAGATCAATCGTTCATATTAAATACTTAGAAATATTTAAAATTTATATTTTATATATTTAAAATTTATTAAATTGAATTTTTATTATTTTTTGTGATTTAAATTGATTTATTTTATATATCATAATATTAAAGAATTTAAATATCACTTAAGTTAATTTATTTTTAATTTAGAATATCATGTTTAAAATTAATATTTATCCTTTCAAAAATATTTTTAACAATAATACTTAATATTATTTAAATTCATCTAATAGTTAAATATTTTTGTAAAATTAATAAATTTTATGTAGATATTGTCTCTATTTTTCTATAAAATTTATTTTTTAACAAAAGATAAACTAAACATTTAGATTAAATTTTCAATGTAATGATAATAATTAATTAATTAAATTGAAATTAACATTTTACACAAACCGTCCGTGCTCCACTAATAAGACATGGTTCTCAGTCAAGAGCTTTTTGTTTTGTGTGATTAAATTAATATTAGGTGGACACACGATGTTTTAGAATATCACTCACTGCCTACCAAATTTCATCACAAAACTTTAACATACAGTGATGAATCCAGGGGTGCCCGTAGGGATAATTCCCCTTTAAAAATTTAAGATTATTATATATTTTAGATTATTTTTATATATTTTTTTATCGAAAATCTATTTTTGTTCCTCTTAAAATTTTAACTCGTTCCTTCTAAGTTTAAATTTATCTCTTTAACATAGAATCGTGTATATGTCCTTGTTAACATATATATATTCTAAGTTCCGTTAATATTTTGTTTTTGATATTTTATCGACTAATTTATTTGGTATATTGATAATACATTTAATTTTAAAAACAGGGTTAACAAATTTATATTAGAGTTAAAAATTTAACTAATAAATCAAAGTTATAACTAGGGATCAAAGTTTAACCAATTGAGGCAGAGATGGATATAATTTTAGTGGGTAGTAGGAAGTTGTGAATTTAGAAAGTGGTACCCATCTCGGGTAGTGAGCGGATTATGGGTTTGAGACCTTACCCGCCCCGCATCTGCCCGCCCACTAAATATCCATTAAATTTTGGACCATTATGAATTTAAGTATAATTTTAGAGACTAATTTATAAATCTTAATATTGTATAAGATATAACTTATAATCCTTGATTTTTTTTATTATGTTTTTAATGGACGTGTTTGTTTTATGTTTATTGCTTATGTATAACTTAAGGTTGTTGTCAGGCGGGTCTAACCTGATACGTCTCTAGTTGAGTAGTGAGTGTGAGGATGAATTTGAGAATATACCCGTGTGGGCGGGTGTGGATTTGAAAAATTTTACCCATCATGGTGGTGGGCGGATGGTAAATTTAAAAATATTAAGTGGGTATGAAGATAGGGAGGAGATATCCGCACCCGACCTACCCGTTTGTCATCTCTAATTATAACAACTTTTTAAATTAGAGTTGTTAGTTTTAGGGTCTTTATATGTAATACTAGTAACGATTAATTAATTATTTTTGTTTAAAACTCAAACACACTTTTGCCTTGGCTCATGTGAGCCACATGACAACATTGTTGGCCACATGCTACTTAGAATCTTAATGTGTCCTATTTTTGTAATAATAGGTACGTTTTCATTATAATTGCTGTTTTTTTATTATAATCATATTTATATATTTTTATAGAATCAATTAATTTTATTCGAAATAAGTAATATCTTAAATTATAATAAAAATTTACAATCATAATCGTAAATTAAGCACCTAATTAGGAAATTTTCCTATAATCATTGAAACAAAACTAGTAACTTAAGATCACATAAGAACTATACAAGGAAAGATTAAAAATCTAACCAATAAACTCTAACAAAGATAGATACGAACAAATATGATCGCATCAACAAACGAACCACAAAAGGGGATCAAACTATTGACAGACGACCGACAAATCATAAATCAAACTCGAGCAACGTTAAAAGCAAAAGCTATCCACGAATGCAAATCATGTATTCAGATCTAATTTGAGGGTCCAAAGCAAGGAAGATCAACAATAAATCAGATAATCATCATCTTGATCAATCGTCGTGGTGTCAAATCAATTCTTAGAAGAAAAAAATATAAATGAAAAACGGTCAAACAACCGAAAATCATACAAAAAACATAAGAAAATGTGTTATAAACGCATACAAAAACGAGTTATATAGGCAGACTGATTGAAAAAAATAGAGATACAATATAAAAAAGAAAAAAGACAATAAAGAATAACGACGGTCAACAATTAACATTAAAATTGGTGTCACCATCGATCAACATAAACAAAAAAGAAAAGAGATGAACTACACACCAACAAAAAAAAACCAAGTTTTTTCCTATCAATAATAAATTTTGTAATCATATTTATATAAATTTTGATGGAAGCTATTTACATTATATATTAATGTTTTCATATTTTAATACCGACTTTTATCAATTAATTTCTGTATATCATGTCATATATTTTTCTTTCTTTATTGTAGTAACATGCAATGAAATACAATAAAAAATTATGGAAGGGCAAGACAAAGCACTGGATCTCTCTTAACATGCAAGTACAAATTTATTCTTTCTTTTATTTATTTAAATTCATCATCTTCTTTTAAGGTTTAAAAATTGGAAAAAAAAAAGAATAAATCAACCACCATGCTAAATGCACCGACTTTTTCTCCTCTATATTTATTATTATTATTATTATTATTATTTTGTACTCGTTACACTTCCTTTTTCTTGTCAAGTAACTAGTGGAATATGGCAATAAAATATATCTTCTTGTTGAGAGGCCGACGGTGCAAGGAATTAAGATAAATTTCAAGTAAATAATTTAATTTTTTAGTTACCCAACTATTTTAAACATAAAATACATTTTATTTCTATATTATTTAAAAAATAAAGGCAAAATAATAATATTAGCATCAACATTTGTATAAATGATCATTTTTGCATCAATCTCTTTTTGGGGCATTTTAGTCATAATTTTAAATTTTTAGTTAAAATAACTATACTTGACTAACGATCAACTCGTGTTGTTAATATGACGCATGTAATGTCATTATTTTAAGTGATGTAACACATACTGTATAATTACTTTAAGTGATGTAGCACATACTGTATAATCACTTTAAATGACATGGTATGTGTAATGTCATTGCTTTAGATGATGTGCACATGTCACATTATCGCTTTAGTGACATAATATGTAACATTTCAACAATTAAGCATGTCTACAAATATC